GACCGCCATGAAATCTGTCCATTCTTAAATCTGCATGTTTGTAAATTGTGCCAGCTCTCATTTCAAGCCAAAAATCTGAGAAGCATACTTGATTTTCATGTCTCCTTAACATCATATCCCAACTATTATCAAACCCAGTGATTTTCATCTCCTAATATTTCTAGAACCTGAATACATTTCCTCATCCCAAATTCTGCTGCTCTGACTCACTTAGCATCTCTTGCTTGGCCTACCACAGCAGTCCGTCCAATACCCTTCAAGTGAAACCTCAGAGTTACAACAGTACATACATAAGCACAGCTTCATGGCATGTTAGGAAGACACACATACGTGGCATGTTGGAAAGACATAGTTTTTACACTATTTTTTTCTTTTCACTGCTGTGAAAGGTTCTGCTTCTTTACTACAATACACAGAATTATCATAGATACCCTTCTTCAAGGATGATGGAACTGAAGGACAGAGTGGTTTCTGTGGGAGTACTGGCCTTTAGAAATTTTGGCTTGATAGACTTTTTGCAAACCCTTGGAGTGTAACAAAATCCATCATACCTAGATTCTGGCTTTTTATTAGATTTAAAGGCCTTTTGGGAAAAAGCAGAAAAGCAAGGCTTATTTCAGCATTTTAAGATTTAACATTATACCTGGCTCCAGAAACTCCATGACAGAAGTATTTATTCTCATTTTAAAATATAAACAAATATAATAAACTAATATAATACATTAATGTAATTGCATGAATTGTAAGCTCTCTTTACACACACATGTGTGCACACATGCGCACGTGCGCGCGCATGCACACACACACACACACACTGATTTTAACATTTTATGATTTTAAGAATTTTAAGAATGGTGCTTTCTTCCTCTGTGTTAGCCCAATCCATAAAATTTAGTTTAAAAGTAAGTTATTTTGTGACCATTAAAATATAAGCATACTTGAGAAGATTACCTAATTCTTTCCTGTCTTCCATGTTTTATTCCTGAAGCTATCACACTGGACTTCAGTTCTCCTTGTACTTTATCCAAAAAAAAAAAAAAAAAAAAAAAATGAAAGCCTACAGTTAAACATGTTTACTCCCACACCGCCACAGGGATGAGAATACTCTTTCAATATCATAGCCTATAAGAGCCTGAAAGAAAGTAGGGACTGCAGGAAGGGAGAGTCCCGGAGGTACAGGAAGGTATCCAGCTCCATTCATATTGTCTGTAGATGCTTCTGCTGCTGCTTCTTCAATTACGTTAAAACTGTCTTGGCTGCAGACCACATTGTCTTAAAGCATTTCCATTTTCTTGACTCTTTCCAATCTGAGAAATCCTGTTTCTAACAGATCCAGGATTCTAGGTGAGAGTACCTCTTCCCATTCAGGAATTTATACAAATCTGAATTGTTTCATTCTTATCTAAACATCTCTGAACTCTCTTCTCCAACCAAGCACACAACTCTTGGTCAATATCACATTTTTACAACTAGGAGTGACTGAAGGACACAAATCCACTCTGGTCTGGGCACATAATACTGCTATGTGCCATTTGACACCTAGAATAAAAAGCATATCTCACTTAAGTAACTAAAAAGTAGAATATCCATCTGATTTCTCAAAATCAGTTACTTTTATTAAAAATAAAAAATTATAACCACCTGTGATTTTATGGGGATGTTCAAGTGCTTAACCTAGAGTTCTTTCCATGTAATGTCACTACCTGGTAATGACTTCTTAAAAGTACATAGAAAATATGAAAATGTCTGAGACGAACAGGATTTAGAGGGACATGTACTAATGGAGGAAGTTTTAAAACAGGAAAACAAGAGCCCCAGCTTAATTTTTGTATATGCAAATCATTTACTCTTGGGCCTTAGATCCCTATATCTACTAATAGAATATGCTTAATTATTATTTAAAATTATCATATGAAATCATGATTAACAATGCTTATCACAAGGCTTATAGTTTATTTTTGATGTTGAGCAAAAAGTAATTTTGTTTTTTCTAACTCAATTAAAATTTTGCATTGAAGAAATGGAAAACCACCAAATTTACTGTCAAGCCATTCAGGGCTGGCTGAGTCTCAACACTTAAAATACAATTTTCAAACTGCATTCTTTCTCATTTTCAATGGACATTAATGAAAATTTAATCTCAATTAAGCCTGATTCATGCTCATTTAGCATTAAAAAACAGGCAAGAAATATCTGATTTCTGAGAAATATTGCAACATTTTTTTTTTCAAAAGTGTTTGCTGTACCTCAGCTCTAAATTTGAAGGAAGGCATTGTTTCCCAAGCCTCTCTCTACATACATATAACATCATATATGATCCAGTAAGAAACATTTATTTCTCTAGAATGTTTTACATTTTGCAAATATATAACCTCTACAAAAATTATTCCACAATGTTCCTTAAAAGCTAAAGGCTGGGTGGAGTGGCTCACTCCTGTAATCCCAGCACTTCAGAAGGCTTAAGGCGGCTGAATTACCTGAGGTCAGGAGTTTGAGACCAGCCTGACCAACATAGAGAAACCCCGTCTCTACTAAAAATACAAAATTAGTCGGGTGTGGTGGCACATGCCTGTAATCCCAGCTACTTGGGAGGCTGAGGCAGGAGAATAGCTTGAACCCGGGAGGCAGAGGTTGCCTTGCACCAGGATTGCGCCATTGCACTCCAGCCTGGGCTGAGCTTCGTTTCAAAAACAAACAAAGAGTTAGACACGAGTTTACCATACAGCCCAACAATTTCACTGCTAAGCATCTGCCCAAGAGAAATGAAAACGGGTACTCACAAACACTTTAATGAGAATGTTCTCAGCCGTATGACTCATAATATTCCCATACTGGAAACAACCCAAATGTCCATCCACTGGTAAATAGACAAAACCTGGTATATCCAGACAATGGAAAACTATTTAGCATTAAGAAGAAATGAAGAAATGATACATGCCACGACATAGATGAATCTCAGAAACAATATGCTAAGAGAAGCCATAGACAAAGGACCATGTAGTATATCATTCCATTTCTATAAAATGTTCAAAAAAAGGTAAATCTAGAGAGACTGAAAGTAGATTAATGGTTGCCTGGAGATGGGAATGGGTACAAAGATCACAAATGGACATAAGGAATCTTACCAACTAACTGAGTAAACTGTTCTAAAACCAGGTATAGTAATGGCTTTACAACTTTGTAAATTTTCTAAAAATCACTGAAATATAATTTCTAAATATTATTCATCGTTAAGGGGTGAACTTCATAATATATAAATTATCTCAATAAAGTAAAAAATGCTGCAATGCAAACTGCATAAAAATTTAAATAATTGTAAGAACTGTGAAGAAAATTAAATTGATCCATCATTGATCTTAACAATATGTTTACAGTCAACTAAAAAGGAGGAAAAACTCTTTAAGAAAAATGAAATTTGACACATTTTAAATTATTTTGCATAAAGTGGCCATTAGCCTTTGATATTTTATTGAAGAAAGCTGAAATTAAAAATAAGGTTGAAAAGTCCATTACTAAAAACGTTTTTCAAAAGATTTCCTTTCCAAAACTATACTTTCTTTCAAAATAGAATCCTTTGAACTTCTAAAATACCTTTTTAGCAAATGAACTCTTGAGATAGTATCACTTAGGGGGAATTAACCAGCATCCAGCACACTAACAGGAAACAAGGTTTTTAAACTGGCGGTTTAACCAACCTTGATCCATAACCTATCCCATTACAGTATTTTCCATTTTCCGTGAGCCTTATGGTCATCAGGTCTCATTTTAATAAACCAAATGCTGAGCTTTCTGAATATTAAATCCCAGGAGGATTTTTTGTTGAATGTGTGGCAATGTCAGTAAGAAGGAAGGCATCTTGTAAAGAGATAAAGTAGACGGATGAATTTTGAAATATATCTGTACACGAAGAGAAACGCAATACTCGCAGTATTTTTAATACAATACGTTTCAGTATGTAAACCATTGGTAAGAGTGTGTGGGTTTTAAATTTTTTTTCTAGGTGGACATTTAAGTGGTCATCCGCCGGGAATCTCCACTTTCTAGTCCTGCACAGACTCCAGCTAATAACACTAAACCACTTGCAGGATGTTTTGCAGTTTGTTCGTTGTTTTAGTGCTTTCCATGTGCCTAGCTCACGCAAGCACTTTTCTAAAGGACCCGAGTTCTGTTGGCTGCGTTATCTGGGGGAGCTCTACAAAGACTGGTCGGACCTGGCCCTCTTAGCTCCCTCGGAAGGGACCTGCTCGTCGGGGTAACGGGCAAAGCAGGGTCATCTGCCTCTGGAAGGCATTTGCAGGAGCTTCCCCAAGGGGCTGAGCAGCACTAGCAGAAGCACCAGCCAGGACCCAGGCCCTCCGCTCCCTCAGCCCCTTGACCACCTTGGACTCGTGTCCCTCCCCGCGGCCTGCAGAGGTCCTAGGAGCAGGGAAAATCCAATAGCTACGGGGGACCCTTAGGTTTACTTAGTCTCCTCACCTACGTATTTTATCCAAAGAATGAGCAGAGGCCAGTGAGGTGAGGTGACTTGGCTAAAGCCACACAGCCGGACGCTGGCCGAGCGGGTTAGAACTAGGGTCTCTGCTAACCTCTCGGCCGCTCGCGACTACCCAGGGCTTGGAAAGCACCGCCCAGGGAAGAGACTTGGCATTGCCGGCGCAAGAGGCTAAGGGCTCAGCGACTTGTGACAGGAGGTCATCCATGCCCACCTGCCGGGCAGAGTGGGCAAAAGGCAGGTGACAGACTAACCGCGTCACGCCTGTTGACCTGAGCGCCGCTTTCACTCACTAAGTACCCTGGTTTGTGAGTTAAACGATGGGGTTGCCCAAGCAAAAGAGTCATCTGATTTGAACTCCCCCCGTACTTGACCCAGCAGGGCGGAAAACCAGAAAGTTATACTTATCACTTCTTCCTTGGGTCAGTCTCCCGCGATTCCTCAAGTCCCTCCCCTCCTTCTTCGCAAAGCGACACCCACTCACTCGCCGGCTCCAGCAGGTACTTACCAGCCGCGCGCGCAGCTGCCCGCCTTGCAGGTCCCCTCGCGCTCGCGCTCGCGCTCGCCCAGTGCTCTGCGGCCCGGAGCTGCGACTCGGGCTCTAGCTCGCTGCCGCCTCTGGAGTCCACGGGGATGCGGCCAAGACTGAGCTACTGGGCTGGGACGCAGCCAGGAGGTGGCAGCGACTCGGGGGCGGAGGGAACGGCCTCAGCGTCCCGCCCCCGGGCTATAAGCCCGGCTCCCCAGGCGGTGTCCTGCTTTCCGCGCAAACCTGCTCTGCGCGCACTCCCCGGGGGCACGCGCCGCCGCTCCTTTCCGCTGGCAGCCTGGGGCGAGCTCTTTTTCCTACGTGTGCGTTAACCACCAACTAATCATCGTCACACAACCTTGTCCTCCCCGACCGCCACTCCCAGTTCCCTCGGGCGATTGTGAGGTTCTGCTAAGATTTCTGTGACGTGACTGCGGGAATTTCAATTCCCTTCCTGCTTTCTGACGTCGTCTCGTGTTTTCTGTCCCGCCGGTTGTGTGTGCCCGGAGGAAGGTTTGTGCTCCAGGTGTCCTTAAGGTTACCCTTTGATCTAATGTTGGCTGTTTGGAGAAGGTAGGAAGGTACACAGGTTTCTTAACTACACCCCGAATCGGGTCTTCCAGTTTGTTAACAGATTACTTTAACAGATTGGGAAGCAACATGCAATGCAAACAACTTTTTGTGCAATAAAAGCAGAAAATAACGTATATCGTTTCACTTGCAGGTTCCCACTCAGAAAAATAAAGTCCTTACTACTAAGGTCTCATTGTGCTTTTTAAAAGCCATATTAAATGGATGACGATGCTCCTGATAAAATTAATTTCTCTATTTTTTGAGGAAGTGGTTTCTCACTGAAGTCCTAAAATTTCCTTTGGTTTCTTGAAATCCTTAATTAGTATTCAAAGTTCTCTCTAATCTCTAGTGTTGACTAATTTGCTCATTCATACTATGCTCTGCCTTCCCACCCAATGCCTGTGATACCTGCCAATGACCACTTGCAAATTCCCTTTTCGGGCAAAAGCTTAAGTATGGAAATATGAAAATATGATCAGACAAATATTTCATTCATTGTCTGCTAATGGTGCCACAATCAAGCTCTTTAAATTATTCAATATTCATTCCTCCACAATATAGTAATAATTTTCTCTATTTTTAGACAGTGAATTGAGGTTTAGCAAGGTAAGATACTTTGAACAAGGCTAAATAGCTGAGAAGATTCCAAATTAGTTTTGAACTTAGGTCTTCCTGCCTTCAAGATTGATTGACTTCCTTAAATTATACTCTGTTAATAAAGCTTGCCATGTATCTAAATGATAATGTAGGTACCTTTTGTTTTTTGTTAGGTTGGTGCAAAAGTAATTGTAAAAATTACTGGCCAAAACCATAATAACTTCTGCACCAGCCTCATAAAAACATAGTTACTTGTGTGGTTATACAAGCATTAATCAAAGAGATTAAGAATTATTTATATTATTAGTGTAACTTTAAAATTTATTATTTATCACATTTCTAAGGCCTATTATTATATTATATAATATATAAGAATATATATTTTTATGATCTAGGGCAAATTATTCTAATGTTTATTTATTTTAGAGGTCATATGACAGAAAGTGATACTAAAATGTTTGAACTTATGGTAACATGATTGTATTTTTATGATCCTGTAAGTGTATTTCCTATACTTGAAAAATTTGCTTTGTAAAACCTGTATTTTGGAATCAATGTCATAAAACCACTAGACCTCAATGATAAGCCTTTAACCTACATATTTGAAATCATCAGAACCACTGGAATGTATGCCTTATTGAACCTGGAGGTAGAGGTTGCAGTGAGTTGAGATCACAGCACTACTCCAGCCTAAGCGACAGTGAGACTCTGTCTCAAAAAAAATGAAAAAAAAAAAGTCATTCAAAAATGTTTAATATACCTTTATGTGAATTGCTTCTGTGCACAGATTCATAAAATCTAAGATTCGGTTAGATCTAAGATTGGATGCACATCATAATTAAAAATGAATTCACAACTTCTAACATGGGAAATGTTGATGTCTCTTATGCCTTCTCTTATTAAATTGGAAAATATACATTTTATCAGAACTCCAGTAAGTAATATCTTTTGACATTTATATTATTCATAATAGATATTTATTATGATCCCAAATTACTCATAACTGTAGATAAATATAATGAACGAATGAATCAGGTATTTTAAATTTAGATAAATTCTAATTTAACCACAGCTCCTGCATCACTGTTCAGAGTTGGGGTGGATGGACTCTTCTAAAAAAGAGAAGCTTCTGAGATGTTTCTGGAGAATTGGACTTAAAAGCTAGCCTCTTTGAAAAATTTGCTTAAGAACCTAAAACATAAACTTAATCCTATTTTGTTTTTGTTTTTGTTTTTGTTTTTTCTGAGACACAGTCTTGCTCTGTTGCCCAGGCTGGAGTACAGTGGCGTGGTCTTGGCTCACTGAAATCTCCATCTCCTGGGTTCAAGTGATTCTCCTGCCTCAGCCTCTCGAGTGGCTGGGACTACAGGTGTGGACCACCACACCTGGCTAATTTATTTTATTTTATTTTTAGTAGAGATGGAGTTTTGGCACGTTAGCCAGGCTGGTCTTGAATTCCCGACCTCAGATGATCCACACGCCTTGGCCTCCCAAAATGCTGGGATTACAAGTGTGAGCCACCGTGCCTGGTCAACTTAATCCTATTGTCCTATTGATATAGAATTTTATGTGAGGTTTTTTTTTTTTTTTTTTGGTATTTTTTGGTATGTAATTTCCCTTACACTCTATAGGAGTTAGAAAAGCTATAAAAATTAACGTTAGCTTATTAATCCAAAGTAAATAACAACAAAAGTTGTATTCCTTAAAGCATCTTAACAGTTGAAATATCATCTCTGGCATCAACATTTCTCAGAACATCTAGGCTAAGATGCATCTTACTTCAGCTCCATAGACAGAATTTTAAAGAAAACAAAGCCTGTCTCCTTTCTGCATCTTTTTCATCTTCCCATTCCCAACCACTTAAGCTTCTATGAATCCCATGTGGTCTTAAAGCCACATTGGCCCTATCAGTAGCTTCTGGTGCAGCCCTGTTTGGGGTCAGCCAGGAGAAGGTGAAGCAGAGTAATTTACATTAAAGAATCAGCCAGGTGCCATGGTTCATGCCTATAATCCCAGCACTTTGGGAGGCCTAGGTGGGCGGATTATGAGGTCAAGAGATTGAGACTATCCTGGCCAACATGGTGAAACACTGTCTCTAAAAATAAAAAAGAAAGAAAGAAAGAAAGAAAAAAGAATTTTGGGAGATAACATCTGAGAATAATTTCCAGTGGTTAGAGTTGAAGCACTGCTATGATACCTAGGAGTTAACATCTTTCTTTATAAACCAGACTTCAGGACTACCAATTAATAGATATGCATAACATAAATCTTTTCCCAACCTTATATTGATAAAGAAAGCAAGGGAAAAGTTTGGAAGGAAAGAAAAGGAAGGACTACATGCTATCCTAACTGATTCCAAACTACAGGTGTCCTTTAAACAACACTGGGTTAAGGGCACTGAACCCTCACCTGTTGAAAATCCTCATATAGGATCCAAGATGGCCAAATAGGAACAGCTCTGGAGTGCAGTTACCAGCAAGAACAATGCAGAGGGTGAGTGCCCACCTCATTTCCAAACAAATTTTCACTGCCCACAGACCAGGAGATTCCCAGGCGAAAAGTGCCACGAGTTTTCAGCATGGTGGGTTCAGCCAGTGCTGGCTTGGTGCACAGAAACTCACACAAATCTGGGGGGCTGTTTCAACTGGCGCCTGGAATGCCTGGGAGACAGAACCACCCATTCAACTGAGAGGGAGGGGGCTGAGACAGGGAGCCAGGTGATCTGGCTTGGTGGGTACCACCCCCACAAAACAAGCAATCTGAAATGCTCTGGATTGAGAGTTTTTCAGCAAGTGCAGCTGGACCCAGTATGGTCCAGCTCAGTAGGGGGAAAGGTGATCACCACTACCGAGGCAGTCCACCACTACCGAGGCAGTTCACACAGCAGCTGGGCAGAGCCCATGGCAGCTCAGCAATGCCTCTGCTGGCAGACTGTGGCTAGACTACTCCATGTGGGGCAGGGCATCTATGAAAAAAGGCAGCAGCATGACAGGAACTTATAAATAAAGCTGACCTTCCTAGGACAAAACACCTGGGAAATGAGGCTGTTATGAGTTCTGCTGCAGAAGACTTAAAAGTACCTGCCCAGCAGCTCTGCACAGAACAACAGAGCTCCCAGCACAGCACTTGAGCTCCTATAAGGGACAGACTGTCTCCTCAAGCAGCTCCTCGACCCCTGTATACCCAAAGAGACACCTCATAAAGGAGAGCTCAGGCCAACATCTGGCAGGTAGCCTTCTGGGATGAAGATAACAGAAGAGGAAACTGGCAGCCATCCTTACTGTTCTGCAGCCCCTGCAGGTGATCCCAAGGCAAGCACAGTCTGGAGTGGAACTCCAGCAGTCCTACAGCAGAGGGGCCTGACTGTTAGAAGGAAAACTAAGAAACAGGAAGAAATAACTTCATCATCAACAAAATGGATGTCCACTCAGAGAACCCATCCAAAAGTCACCAACTACAAAGACCACAGGTAGATAAATCCACAAAGATGGGAAGAAACCAGTGCAAAAAGGATAAAAACACCAAAAACCAGAATGCTTCTCCTCCTCCAAAGTATCACAACTCCTCACCAGCTAGGGATTAAAGATGGATAGAGAATGAATCTGATGAATTGACAGAAACAGGCTTCAGAAGGTGGGTAATAACAAATTTCTCAGCGCTAAAAGAACATGTGCTAACCCCATACAAAGAAACTAAGAACCTAGAGAAAGGTTAGATGAGATTCTAACTAGAATAAACAGCTTAGAGAAGAATATAAACAACTTGATGGAGCTGAAAAACACAGCACGAGAACTTCACAAAGCATATACAAGTTTCAAAAGCCAAATTGACCAAGCAGAAGAAAGGATAGTAGAGATTGAAGATCAACTCAATGAAATAAAACAAGAAGGCAAGAATAGAGAAGAGTGAAAAGAAATGAACAAAGC